GCAACGCTGGTTTTATGGGTGTGAGTGCTGCACCCACCCTGGGGTGGGTGATCTACAGTACAATGTGAGGAGAGAGACAGACTTGTTCTCTGTTGCTGTCTTTGTTGCTGTCTTTGTTGCTATTATTCTTCCCTTTTGCTTTTGCTGCTTTGCTGTTTTCCACTGCCATGAACTGCTGCCCTCTGCCATGTGCCATTCTGTCTTGGAGCCAGCCAAGTATGAACTGAACTCCACAAATTTTGAGTTAAATAAGCCTTTCCTTCCTTAACGTTAGATGTGGGGTATTTTGTCCCAGCAATGAGAGAAAAGTAACCGAGACAACTATCCTATTTAAAAGTGTCCACTATGATAACATAAAACTAAAAATTAAATGTCACTGCCTCCCCACCTCATGCTTATATGAGGTCATTGCTTAACTCAAATGAACTTTGTATCATTAGAAATGGGGAAGTACAATTTCTTTCAATGCCATTTGAGTCCGTTTTTGAGGTATTGTGGACGGAAATATCCTGGTTACTTGGTTGAGATGATTCATGTAGTAAAACAGTCTGGGGAATAAACTTTATCTTGTCTTCATCTTTATTTTTGTTTTCTATATGGAAACTAATCATTTGAGGTTGGCAAGATGGATATGGGCTAAATTTCTTCAATAATTTTTTCTACATTTCTTTACCTCAGACCAGACATCTCCAAATTTAGGCTGTTTTCCAAAAGCAAACCTGCTCATGAGCCTTCTAAAAAAAAAGGTAGCTTATTAGAAATTACAGAAAGTCCTCTCTGAAGTTGGTTAGGCTAAGAATTTATTGCATTTTGGTTAAAAACAGAAAGTGTTACAACTTAATCCCAGGAGCAAAAGTGAGAATCAGGAATGAAAATATTGTCAGTGGAAACAGTTGCCTGGTACATGGGCTGAGCGCATTCATTTTGCTGGGACATGGTCTGGGTGACCAGAAAGAAAATGCTGATAGCCTGCTTTCTGAAGACAACATGCATTTGTATTCATAGCTCATGCTTGAAGATCTTCCTTCAGCCTACAATATGGCTGGTTTGGTAAATTGACACACGCGTCTGCACCCTTGTTCCCTGCTAGTTATTTTATTCTGATGCTTCTCGAAAGTCTACGTTCAGACACATGATATGGCTGACCATACCTTCACTGTGGAAATAGTATATGTGTGGGAAATGAATATCGTGCCTTCCAAAAAACAGGCTGTAAATACCTCCATAGAAAATAATAAAGATACAACCCAACTGCTCCATAATAATAGGCTATACAACCCTGTAATAGCTGCAAGATTTATAATAACTGTATTATTAATTCTCACAAGACCTTTTAATATTGGAAACTATCCTATTAGCTAAAATTATATTTCAATAGGTCAAATACAAAATCAGTTTCTTAAGATTTTGGAGAATCTCAGACCATGCTCATTCAACTAAATACAGTTGACCAAACTTGGAAGATGTACATCTTCCTCTCTCCTCTGCTTCCTTTCTGATGATGAATAGCTTTGGCCCATGTCATGGGATGTTTCATTTAAGGACTGCCAGTAGTAATGTCCTTTACTTTGCTCTAATCTTACAAATTATAGAGCTAGAGGCCTCAGGACAGTCTGTGATCATCGTCACTCTTGAGAGCTCATCTTTCTACTTGGGGATGGCCAAAACTTGAGGAAAGACAGCCGATGGTGAATGGTCATTGAATAATAGTACAACATTTTCACAGTGGTCCAGATTGGAATACTATTCATGGGCCAAGCTAATAAGAAGCAGTCATTTTGTCCTTGTTGCAACTGGCACTAGAGGGCAGAAGAAGGCATACAGACATTTCACTGGCCAGTTGTTTTGTAGTCAAATACATAAATCTTGGGTTGTGCTCTTTTAAAAGACTGTGCATGCAATCTGGAATGAAGTCATATGGTTTACCTGTGCTACCTCCAGGACTTTTGAACTCTATACTAGATCTACTAAGTTGCATATGGTCTCTGGCAAGGGGGAACTCACACATTTCTTGAAATGTTTTCTTTTAGAATAGTTTAATGTTTATAGGAAAGTTACAAAGATCACCAAGAAAGTGCTCATATACCTCAACCTAGTTCTCCTTATTACATACATTACCATAGTATTTGTCACAATTAATAAATCAATATTGGTAGATTATTATTAACTAAAATCCATTCTTCATTCATTTCATACTCTTCCTCTATGACAAGGTCCTATTCAGAATATAACATTACATTTAATAGTCATGTATCCACAGACTCGTGTGACTTTCCCAAACTTGCCTTATTTTTAATAATCTTTGACTATTTTGAGGATACTGGAGAGTATACTATTCTTCAGTTGGAGTTTATTTGGTGCTTTTCTCATGGTTTGACTAGGATGTTTGGAAGAAAAACATAGAAGTAAAGTGTCAAGTCCCATTAGGGACACATACTATTACTTGATGTTAGTTAACCTTGATTGTTTGGCCGAGATGTTTTCCTTTTAAAGTGGTCCCTCCTTGGTTTTTCTTTACTCTCTGGAAAAGAAGTCACTGTGTTCAGTCCACGTTTAAGAGGGAAGTTACATTCCACCTCTTTGAGGTTGGAGTAAGCTGTATAAGTTAGGCAATTTAGGGGAGGGTTGTTTATTCCCCTAACTTATTTATTCAATCATTTATTTATATTAGTATGGACTCATGGATACTGGGTTATAATCTAGAACTTCTTTGCTATTCACATGGTTTCAGTTTTACTTATTGGCAATTCTTTCAGTTGGCCCTTCTCTGTCCCTTTAATTTAAAGTTTATTTGATTTGTTTTTAAAGTGGTACCTTACCATGCCATC